TCAACTCCACAATTCTATGATTCTAGAAAACAAAGGAAAGTTGTTGGAAGGGAGAAATTATTTGGAAACCCTAAGAGGGCAGTGATGGAAACAGTGCAAGAGTCCTTTAAATCTATTAGCACCGTTGCCTGCACACCTCCTCTCAGAAGTGGAGATTCCCCCCCCACACACACACACCTTTTGCATGCAGGCAGGCATATACACACGAAAATGCCAAAATGACTGACCCCAGCAGCTATTCCCAGTGTCTGCGAAAAATACACAACTTTATTGACTATACCTTTGTAACCTGCAATGCGCAGCAGTTTTTTTTCAACCATTGCTATCAAGGAAGTCTTTGTTAACGGCACCTGCACAGGACATTGATCACATGGGGCACACTCTGTATAAACTTGTCCTCCAGGGGCAGGTTATGCTGCTCACATGTAAATGATAGAGTACTGTCGATCATCATTAGCAGCTGCCAGGAAGCTCCATGCAGATGATGGGCTGTGGTTGAATGCATGTTGGGAGAATTTGTGTGTGCACGCGCAGCCCACAGACTCCAGAGAATCTCGGTTTTAAATCTACTACACATCCTGTGTAATGACAAAACGATAATCAAAGGAAGTGCATCGCTCATGCACTTCAGAGGCAGATAGATGCTACTTCCCTCCCCTATCACCATAAGGCAACTTTGCTCTTCTGAAACAAGCCTGTCCAAAACCATCTGGAAAAAGCACAGACCCGTATTAGATTTGCAGCTGGAAGTAGTACTATAAAGAACAGATCTGATGGAATGCTGTTTTACTACTGTAGTTTTCAAGTTCACAGCCTTTTGCGGCTTAATGTCGCATCAAGAGGGAAATAATCCATTTCCTTTTCACCTCCTGCAGCTGCTGCCACCTCCCTTAGAGGGTAACAGCAGGAAGTAAAATGTGTATTATACGATTTGTTCTTGTGAGACAGACCTCTAAGCCTCTGGATTTTAAACATACCAAAAGCAGGCTCTTTTAACCTTGTTCTATCAATATGTATATTTTTTATTAAGCAGAACAGTTGGATTCCTGGAAACTGTTCGGCATCTAGGAAGTGATCTGCCGCAGAATTAAATTCTTAAAAAGCAAAGTTTGCTTCCCTTGCACATACTACTTTATTTGGCACTCTTGTTATATCCAAAGGTCACTATGGTAAAATAAGAGATATTAGATTTTTTTTAAATGGAGAACAAAGTATTAGTATGATATTATACTCCATTTTAAGCATAGAAACATAGGGCAGGTTCACCTGACCAGCTGTCAGCAGAAGTCATGTGCAATGACTTCGGCTTGTGCAATTCAGCTTTCCCTCCTTCTCCTCCCCAAATTAGCTTGGGGTGTTCAGGAGAACCCCAAAAACAACACACAGAGGGAGGAAAGTTGCGTGTCAAGACCCCGCAGCCACTCCCTCATTGGAAATAACTCACACAAGGACACGAATATCAGGTTTAAGTTATTGGGCAAATTTTGGCCACAACTTTATTGAAATTACAGAATGTGAGCGGTATTGGCTTAGGCATTGCTTGGACCTGACTATATCTAACTCCTGCCCATTGTGCAGGAAGTCCAGTAAGGGTAAGCCACCGGTAGGGGGAGCCCTGTCGATGCGAACCAACTCAAGCTCCCCCGGTGTTCCCGTCGGGGTCGTGTCAAGGCCTTAGCCCCCCAGCCGGGCTTCAGACTAGATCAACACCCCCGGGTTCCTTTAACAGAATACCCTTAAGCATGGAGGGCCATGTGATGGCCACACCTCCCCTCTCTCACACAAGGTCAAACAATGCCTAACCGCAACCCTAACAAAGTTGTGACGATTGCTACAAGGTAGGCGAAAACCAAGTGGCCAGTGCCGATTTGCCAAGTGGAAAAATTCCTACCAGGCCCCTCGGACAACCAAGGCGACCAACCGAAGTCCATAGCAAGGCCATTGCCTAACCTGCAAAATAGGGAGGGAGGGCGGGTGATTGAGGAAGCGAGCCAAAGAGGAAGTCCTCTGGCTCGCTCCTCCGTTTAAACAGCCCCGGCCACGCCCCCTAGCCAGCGGGTTGGCTGGCCGGGCTCTGACGTGGCCGGGATCCCCCAGGCAACGGGGGACAAAGTCCCCCGCCCCCGGTGGGGAGTGGGTGGCCACGCGGTCCACTGCAACTCCTCCCCACTGGGAAGTGGAGAGGATGAGGCATCAATCCATCTGGAAATCTGCAATCCTTACACAAACAGAAGAAGTGTTGGGAAAACGTGACACTGCGTTCCACCCACAGAAAGTTGCCTTATGCAGATCTGGACCGCTGGACCCATCTAACTCAGTATTATCTACACAATGAACGGCAGCACCTCTCCAGGATTTCAGGCAGGGGACATTCCCAGCTACACCTGGCGATCCCAATGGCTGAACCTGGGACCTGCTGCACGCAATCAAGTGTCTCTCCCACTGAGTTACGATGGGAAGCAGGAAAAGTATGACTCTGAAAAAATATTAAAGGCCTATCCACCAGATTTACAACAAATAGCACTTTGCATCCAGAATGGATTCCTACTTATTTTGCCATCTATTTCGTAAGTTCTTGTTCGAGTTAAAGTTGACAAAGGGATTGCTGAACTCTGGTTTGTCCTTAACATTCCTCGGAGCAAGCTGGCAGCTTCCAATACAATCCTGATTACATAATTATTACAAGAAATTAAAGATTACTTTCAGACGTGCTGTTATGCCAAATTAAATAGTGCTGCTCTAATGGCTGCCCATTTCTTCTATTCAGAGTTGATTAAAATGCATTCTGATCTTCAAAGAGTAACAGCTGTGTTCAAGGGTATTTTTAAAATCACATTGTAAAAAGGAAAAAAGAAAACTTAACTAGCTTTAGAGAAGGTCCACAGTATCACCAGCAGTATCTTACCAAGTTTATGATCACAGAAAATATCACAGCATCAATGCACGGTACTTCATCTTGACTCATATACTTGTAAAATAAGGTATCAGGGGCAAATAATAAGAACAAAGAAAATTTCTCCTTCTGAGGCCCACACTTTGGAATTTGAAACGGATGGTTGAATTCAACAAACTTGTCCCGCTAGCAGCAGCCTGGTCAAAAGTAATGGGGCTTCTCTCCCTCTTACCCCTGGGCTCCCTTCATGCACCCCAACTTCCCCAAATTGGCTCAGGGTGGTCAGAAGAACCCCCAGACCGTTAAGGAGGAAGGAAGGAAAAGAGGTGAAAGCATTCCACCAGGCAAGCAGAAATGATTGAAGTGATTGGAATGCCCACTGTATAAAATAATAACAAAGAAATAAGGAAAATTGGTACGATACGTTTTAAGAATGTATTAGAAAATATGAAAAGATGAAGGTAGCAATCATATGTACATCCAATATTAGAAATTTTAAATGCACCGGGAATTGATGGGAAGTCTATCACACCTTAGTAAGAACGTTGAACAAAAGAGACTGTATAAGAGTAGATCAATTTTTATTTGTATATTTACATAAGATTACTTATAGAAGATCATTTTTGGTTTATATAAGTTTGTTTTTGTTATGTATGAAACTTAATAAAGCATGGAAAACTTAGAAAGAAAGAAAGAAAGAAAGAAAGAAAGAAAGAAAGAAAGGAAGGAAGGAAGGAATGCTTGCAGTGACAGAGCAATCTCGGGATTTTTTTTTATGTTTGACGTTTCCTGGAAGCCACCCAGAGTGGCTGGGAAAACCTAGCCAGATGGACAAGGTATAAACAATTATTATTATTATTATTATTATTATTGTTGTTGTTGTTGTTGTTGTTGTTGCTATTTCATAGCTGTCAACGTTTCCCGTTTTTAAGGGAAATTCCCTTATTCCGCATAGGATTCCTCGCAAGAAAAGGGAAAAGTTGACAGCTATGCTATTTTGAATCCTCCTGCTGATTTTAGATGTATGTTCCGTGGATCACGTCTAAAGTCAAAATCATGCATAATCAAAACACATTGGAGATTGCCAAAGTCTTTTTTCTTGGTTGGATGCCTGAGCCAGAACACCCGCCCCTTATTTGTTTGTTTGTTTGTTTGCATGCTCACTTTGCTGCATGAACAACAACAATGCCTTTTTAGTAGCATTACTGCAACAACTGGTGCTAACATTATGCAACTAGCACATGGCAGGTTTAGAAGAAAACTGGAAAAAAAATGCAGTAAATGCACAAGTCATTGATATCGGCTATCAGCTGGTGGCCGCCTCTCCTCCATTTCGCTTGGTTGATGGGTGCAAGGTTGATGCCAAACGAAACATCAATTTAATTCGGAATCGGGTATCCAGCAATGCTTGGTTAGACTGTGTGGCTGGACCAGCGTGTATCCAAATGGTTCCAACCAACAGAGATTCACTTTCTTTTACAGCAACTACAAAATGGGAGAATGATGTCCATGTGATTGATGGTGTGGTAAATCTGGGCTGTTTCCATACACAGGAAGAGATGAGCTAAATCTGCTGACTACTGCGATACGTCTGTTCCTTTCACAAACAGAATCATTCTTATTTGGCATTATTATGGGCTACTAGTTTGACTACAGAATTGGAAAATGCAGTATAAGAGGTTCAGCTTTGTTTGTGTTGATGCAACGCAAGGCAATTTACATCGCACACCAACATGTGGGGGGGGAAGTCAAAAGGCGGTGCTGTCAACTGCTAGCTCTTTAGGAAAATCAGAACTTCAGATTAGTTCTCACAAAGGGCAGATGAAGTTGCAAATCATACTGCAACACTCAAGCTGACATTTGAGATGTTCCTGGAGAAATAAGATGTGATGGAGAAGAGATCAAGCCTATCCTTCACCCAGACATTTCAGTTTTCATGCATAGGAATCCTTTCCTTTGTTAAGCCATGGGGTGAAATTCCATTATGTAAACTCTCACCTGCAGTTCATGCACAGGCTTACATGCTATTTGTGTGGCCACACTTCAGCCACAAATTGCAACTCAAAAAGTAGTAGAACCTAAGCTTATCATTTAAAGAGATGTTTACCTCTATTTGTATTCCAAGCTGTGCTTTCTCTTTGTCCTTGCGCTCTATACATCGCTTCAACTCTTCTATCTCTGACATAACAGCACTGTGATTCAGTTGTGCTCTCAATTCCCAGATCTGCTTTTCCATCTCTTGTTTCTCTGGATCAGACCTCTCAAGCACTGGAACAAACGTGGCATGATTTAGCATAAGAAAAGTTACAACAAACAAAAAATGCACTCATACATAAAACACGCATGGCTGCAGGAAAATCAGAAACAGCCAATTCCAGTTTCGATTAACCATAGTTTCACATATTGCCCAGACCCTAAACCATGGTTAATCTTAACGATGTTTAGTGGAAACAAGTAAACCACAGCTTGTATGGTTCAGATGACACACCAAACTGAAGCTAAGCAAAAATAGAAACAAAGACTTCAAAACTCCTCACTGTGGCCATGTCAAAATGAGGATGAAAGACTTCGAGCTCAGAGGAAGCTATGCTTGTTCTCACAAATCAAATCAGCCCATAAAACAAAGTTTATCGACCAGCAGTATTGGTGGCCTTGACTACAGGATAAGGCGATAGTTAGATAAACAGAAAGATAGATAGCTCGGTTAGAGTAAATACCAAATTACTTTAAATTTCTTTTCAATTCTATGAGGAGACTGACATGGCAAGCACAGGCCTCCATGAATTAGCTTATTGCCTCCACTGCCTTGTGGATTACTCTTGGGTGGGATGAAGAGTAAGGCAGTTCACACCTTGACCAAAAAGAAGTGGGATTCCATCGGGTTCTAGGCAGGCATTGCTTATAGACACTGGCAGCAGACCACAAAGATAAAACACAAAAATGTGTCATCTGACAAAGATGGAAGGGTGCCCTCAAATTTTGCTTTAAAAAAAGGAGTTGGGTTAAAAATTATCAAAAAAGTATTTTCTGTTCTTTATTTGTTTGAACACCTTCTGAACTTCCCCGCAGAAAATATTATGTGAAACAGCCTCAATCTGATAGTTCGTGAGAATTTTCATGCATCCCATACTGTTAGATAACTGCATCTTCTTCACCGTCCTGTTTTCCTTCAAGAATATTCAAATGAAATGCCCTTCCCAAATTCCATTACCTGGAAAAGGGTCCATTTCACTTATTCTGTATCCAAACAATACAGTATCGTATATGGGTTTTCTATGACATTTTCTGAATGCATATGAAGAATACTTAAAAAAAATACTTTGGCTTTCCTATTAATTATTCTTGGGTAAATTAGATTCATTGTCATGTCAGGAAGGTAAGCCATGCTCATGTTTCCCCTGACAGAGTGAGAGCAGTGCCAAGTAACAGAAATATCCACGTTTCAAGAAGGAAAGCCTGTCACTGGACCTTGGCTAGAAGCATCTCCATTCATACAGTGGAAAGGATATACGAGGGATATTGAGGCTTGAGGATGCAACTGCTATTTATAGCCGTTTTAAGCATACCAGCAGGGCACATTTAGAGATCAACCTGTATTGATTTGTTCTGCATCACATGGGACCAAAGCTGAGCTCCACTGAGCACAGCTGATTTGCAACCTCCATTTACTGCCACACACTGCTCCCCTACTAGCCCTTTGAAAATGAATGGCTAGGACACAACAGTAGGTTTCGGTGGATTGCTTCCAGACCCTACTGATGCAATTACTTCTAGTGAATGCTCCAGATCTAGCTCCTAATATTTTTCACACACTACTGCCGGCCTCTGCTATCTCTGTGCAACTTCTACCATGCTCATTACGATAGCAGGGACCTACAGCTCAGACAAGACAAGCCCAAATTCCAATTCATAATCCTTCAGCAGCCTGTAAGAAATCAGATCCTAGCTGGTTGCCAGTCTACCTAACAAAAAAATGTATTAGAAAGGCTTTTGCTAAATCAAGAATTTAAGATATGAAATATGAACTGCCTAGCGTTTGCTAAACTGCAGCTTCGATAATGGCTCACATTTAATTTACACAACTGCTTTCACATAAATCTCTGAATTAACTTTTGTCTATTTCGGTCACGATGAGGAGGAGGTTCAATGTGCTGAGATTGTGAACAACAGACATTGAGACATATGCTTTTGTTCACAACTTGATTCTGCCCACAGTTCTCTGTTATTTCCAGCTTTCAGTAAACCAAGACTTGCCATTTCAAGCGCTGAGTCTTCCTCAAGGTATAGTTACTATAAGGTCTTATTTTTCTGTCCTGAATAGTAATGGGGAAAAGAGTGTTACCTCTTTGCCGCCTCCCGTCATCCTTTTGCTCAGCTGGATGGCTCTGGTGATGCATGGCAACCTGAGATATTTGATGGTGAAGATTCAGTCGTTCCTCTTCTGCTCTAAGGAGTTGGGAACGAAGATCCTCAATCTAACACACACACACACACATATACACAGACAAGTGCCAGCTTTTTTAACAAACCAGAAACCAATTTCAATAAATTGTGGAGGCATATTTTCACTGACATTATCAATTCTTTAAAAGATCCTAAAGCAAAATGTGACCATTACCCATACACTATACTTAGCAATGAGCCAAGCATAAGCAGCATGAGATTTCTCTGTTTTAAATGGAAGCTTCAGATTCAAGAGGATATCCCCACCCGGCTCCCTCTTTATCAAACTGCCTTGGTCTTTGGCTTTTTCAGTTTGGGGAGTTGTTTAAGGTATACCTCTTCACACAGGCCCCTGGGTCCTCATGCTGTTGTTGAAAGGAGGCCGCTGGGATATCTGATCTTATCAATCACTATACTGCTTTGCCAGTGAGTATTATCTCACTGCAGCTACACTGATGTGCTGTTTTGGAGGATTTAAGCAGCTTTGGTTCTTTTATTAGTTTTAATTGTTTTATATTTTATTTCGTCTTTTGTAAACTGCTTTGCCATTATTAAAGAAACATTGTTATCTAAATGAATTAATAATAAGGGGGGAAATGCAAGGGACCTCTCCACATGCAATCAGAAACCCTGCCTACTCAAAAGGTTCCCAAGCACACACAGGTTCCGTCACAGGTTATGCATGTATGGAATGGGGGATAACAATCCCACATTGCCCTCTGAGGGCATTTTGTGTAATTTTGTGCACTGCAACACCGAGATGGGGCAAAACTGGGCTGTTACAAAACCAAGCACACCAACCGAGCCTCAATGAAACACAAAGAGGTTTATTTGACTAGCTGGTTTTGCTTCTGAATAAATTATACAGCTAGAGGCCAGCAGAGAGATTAGCCACTTCAAGGCAATTTGTTTTCGCAAAGTTATAATTTGCTTGTGCAAAAGTAAAACAAGGTAAAGCAGTTCCAGGACGGAGGGTGGGGTGCTGCTGGTAGAGGAATCCAATCGCTCTTTTCACTATCTTTAGTAAATTACTTTCTCTGCTCTTTCAAAATATATTGAAATGTGCCCAATAATTTATACTATCACAACATTAAACAACCCTTAAACTCAAAGAAAGTAAACCATAAATATAACATGTAATCTATTTCATCATATCCATAGGTATGCAGCTGTGAATGTGTAAGTGAGAATTTATTTTTAACCAAACTAAAAACAACAGCTATGGAGCGTCTTATTTGGCGTGACAGAGTCTGCAGAACTAATTTTCTAGAGCGTCAATTAGAACAGAGTAAGATCCAAATGCAGATCGATCCCTGAAAGCAAACACTAGGCACATTCCAGCTGTGGAAAAACTACAGTATAAGGTAAGTCCTTCAAGCTGCTGATGCTATCATGTAGCTTGTTGTCCCCTCCTGCTTTCATACAACATATTCAAGTGCTAGCTTCCCCTACCCACCCAGTGTGGTGCAGCAGACAGAGTGCTAAACTTGGGCCCAGGAGACCTGGTTCAGATTCCCCAAATAGCTATAAAGCCAAACAAACACGCATTCTAGGTGTTCTTTCACTAGAGTGAGCAGGATACAAAAGGCAAAACGTTATATTAATCTGCCATGCCACAAGATAAGCAAGCCAATCAGCTTCAGCTACATTTCTTAAGTTGACTATGGCAAAACAGCTTCATGTTGCTCTCATTTGCGTGTTACGCTAAGTCAAACCATGGTTTAGCACAAATGAGCAAATGCTGGACTCCTTTGCTGCTGCACTAAGCAAAACCACAGCTTGGCTTAGCACGTCGTTTTAACCCAGAGTAGCAGTTCTGCTCTATGCAGACAAATCATGAGCTGAAACCAAGACTTGCCTTTGGTTTACAGCTCATAGTTTCTCCAGGGAGGGCTAGACCAGGAGCTTGAGTCTGGACAACATGCTAAGGCAAACCACAGTTTACCACAGGAGCACAATGACTGGACTGGAGCAAAGCACCATCTCCTCTCTGGAGGCCTACACATCTGCACTAAGCTTAGCGCCATGTGAGAACCAGATTAATAAACTATCATTCTGTAATAGAGCTTGGTATGCACTTTTGTGACTGGTTTCTTATCATACTTATTTCTAACTTCCTACTGCACTATTTGATAGAAAGTTTTAAGAGCACTGCCTACTGTGAACGGAGACAGGTTTTTACACAGGAAAGTGGTTACCTGGTGGAGAAGAACCTCTCTGCTGTTTTCCGACTGATCCAGTTTCCTCCGGGACTGCTCCAAATCTTGTTCAAGCTTATTCGGATTAGAAAGAGTGACAAAAAAATCATTCCACTGCTAGTAATGTCATGAATTATTTAGCTACAATATTTAATATACCCAGAAGTCTGCTGAACGGTCATTTCCTATGCAACACTTTGCTAAGATCGCCAAATGCCTATTATCCCAATGGTTCCTTAGATCAAACGATCTGTTTACAAATACATGCATTTCTTCCTCTCCTAAAAACTACGTTATGTAACTGAGTTGCACGTGTTATCTCCCTCATACTCTAGATGGGCTCCCCTTTCAAGGTAGCAAAACAGAGCACTTTGAAAGGTTGTTTGACTCATAATAACCAGAAATCCCAGATTGAGAAGGAAAAAAAGTAAAAACCCAAAGGCACATTAAAAAAGAATTTCAAGCCAGAATGAAGAATGGGTATTGCAGATGTCTGTGATTAACTCAAAACTGAACGCAAGTTCTTGAAAGAACAACAAATACCCTCTTAGTTATAGTTATATTAGCCCTTGAAAGGGTTAGGAAAGTGAAGCTGCTGCGAAATGCAGCAGCCAGAATAATTTCTGGTACTTGGCTTTCCTGACCACACCACTCGGTTTGAGTCCAGGCCTAACTCAAAATCCTGGTTATTACATATAAAGCTCCAAACATCCTAGGACCAGGATATTTCAAGGACCTTCTCCTCCTGTGTTAACTTGCATGACAGTAGCAGTTGGCAGCATAACAGGGGCAGTGTGGTCCTGCTTCCCAATGCTGAGTGGGGTTGCCTTCTACCGAGAGGGGAAAGGGGTGGGGAGCTTGGTGCAGTGCAGGCGTGATGCAACAAATCTGGTTCCTATTTATTTATCTAAGGTATTTCTATAATGCTTACTATTTTGAATTCCTAAGCAGTGTGAATCAAATGTGTTTTATGCACACACACGAACACAGAATAAGAAAGGCCATCATACAAACAGAAAACTACCTTATAAGGCCTGCTAAAATAGAGACGTCTTAAGTCAAGTGCCTGAAATTAAGCAGGGAGGGGACCTGATTATTCTCAGCCAAAAGGGAGGGCCACAGGATTGGGTCCCCAATGCTGAATGCAAGGCCTCTGGAAGTTATGAGCCAGTTACCCTGCCAAGTTCCACACAAGTTCGGAACTGGGAAGCCAGATGAACAATGCCACCCAGCGTGCACCACTGCGCCACCAGCTACTGCTGCCTAATAATAATTCAAAGAATAATAATTCAGAAGAAAGGTATGTTTGGCAAGGACCCAATAGAGGATCTTTTGAGTGGTGGCTCCCCAGTTGTGAAAATCCCTCTGAAGGGAGGTTAGTTCAGCAGGTGATGAAGGCATTTTTATTTCACCAAGCTTTTGCCGCATTTTAATTCTTGCTTTTTTGTTGCATTTGTTTTATTGGTTTCTTCTCCTACCCCCTAGTTTTAATAGCAGTGAGTGTTTTAACTGTTGTTAAGGGCCAAATTTATCTGCATGGGCCTCAATGACGCCTTCCTGTTTTTACAGGCTTAATTATTCTTGATGTAGGTCACCTTGGAAGGAGCAGTACAATCTGGGAATGTGCCACTGAAAAGAAGCTGGACATCTTACCATGAAAGGCAGAGAGTTTGATGCTGATACCTGCTATTATATGTTAAAGCAAACATACAGTGGTACCTCAGGTTACATACGCTTCAGGTTACAGACTCCGCTAACCCAGAAATAGTGCTTCAGGTTAAGAACTTTGCTTCAGGATGAGAACAGAAATTGTGCTCTGGCGGCGTAGCGGCAGCAGGAGGCCCCATTAGCTAAAATGGTGCTTCAGGTTAAGAACAGTTTCAGGTTAAGTACGGACCTCTGGAAGGAATTAAGTACTTAACCAGAGGTACCACTGTACTTCATATTTTTAAAGCATGGGTGCAAAAGTCACTGCATCAATTGCAACATGAAGATACTACACCATGAACATTTTTTTAAAAAACCAACAACTTACTTTGTTTTTTTCACCCTCCATTTTCAGTACTTTATTCTTCAAGACAGTTTCCACTTCATTAGCTTTAGCATCTTGTTGTTTTAAAGCCTTGAAGGAAGAAAATGGGAATTTGTTTCCTTTTTGCAAAACCATCAAAGCCTTAATTTATAAAATATGCTGACATTTGTATTATTTACACATGCACAAACACAGCAGAACACACTGGTGTGTGAGATTATATCGTGCAAAGCTATAAATAGATGTATCGAATGCATAGTGTCCACAAGTAAGCTTGTTACCTTGCAATCCATTAGCTTCCATACGCCAATAAGCAAGCTGAGCCTCAGCCTGCCTCAACTCTCCCTTCAAGACACAGGATGTTTAACCCTTTCCCAAGCTGGATGTATGTTCAAAATCATAAACTCCCACACCTATTTTAACTCTCAAAAGATATATAAGATCCCCTATCTTTTACCTCTTGGGGAGAAAAACAGTGGGGTGTGTGGAAAAATTTTCAGTATACAGATAGCTAGGATGGAAAGGGTTAAACAGCCCTCTTCTGCCACTCAGTCGGAAGTCACCCATCAGGTGGCACTGTGGTCTAAGCCAACGAGCCTCTTTGACTTGCCGATCAGAAGGTCGGCCGCGTGTGGTTTAAATCCTTCCGGTGGGTTGAGCTCCCATTGCTCTGTTCCAGCTCCTGCCAACCAAGCAGTTCGAAAGCACACCAGTGCAAGTAGATAAATAGGTACTGCTGCGGCGGGAAGGTAAACGGCATCTCCGTGCGCTCTAGCACTTGTCATGGTGTCCCGTTGTGCCAGAAGCGGTTTAGTCATGCTGGCCACATAACCCAGAAATCTGTCTGCGGACAAACGCCGGCTCCCTTGGCCTGAAGCGAGATGAGTGCCAAACCCCATAGCCGCCTTTAACTGGACTTAACCGTCCAGGGGTTCTTTACCTTTACCGTTACCTTATCTGACAAAAGCATTGCACTTCCACTTGATATGTCTACCCAGCATTGCTGGAAGTGATAAGTAATGGGGCCATCAGGCAGGAGGCAGGCTGTATAAAGGTAAAGGTACCCCTGCCCGTACGGGCCAGTCTTGCCAGACTCTGGGGTTGTGCGCCCATCTCACTCAAGAGGCCGGGGGCCAGCGCTGTCCGGAGACACTTCCGGGTCACGTGGCCAGCGTGACATCGCTGCTCTGGTGAGCCAGAGCCGCACACAGAAACGCCGTTTACCTTCCCGCTAGAAAGCGGTCCCTATTTATCTACTTGCACCCAGGGGTGCTTTCGAACTGCTAGGTTGGCAGGCGCTGGGACCAAGCAATGGGAGCGCACCCCGCCGCGGGGATTCGAACCGCCGACCTTTCGATCGGCAAGTCCTAGGCGCTGAGGCTTTTACCCACAGCGCCACCCGCATCCCGGCAGGCTGTATAGTTGCAGACAAATCTAGGAAGTCCCCTTGTCAGCATGGCTATGTGTACAACAGGATAGGGCAATCTCATTGGCTCCAGCCCAAGAAGCCCAACTTAAGCCTATCGGAAGGACATTTCAGAATATTTAACCAATAACTGAGCTCCTTGCATGATTCTTAAGCAGCACAGATGAGCACCAAAATGTAGTAGAATAAAGGGTTCGAAGTAACCCAGGTTTAACTAGAATTAAACAGTTTAAAACAGTTTAAAACTTAGAGAAGTTTAGGCCCTCCAAGTACTATCACTAGGTAGAGAAGACAATTCTGGCAATGTAGGCAAATAATCTGTACCTGGTCTAAGGCAGTTTCCTGGTGCATTTACCTCACAAAGGAATGTATGCAGCTTGGAGACGCCTTGCATACTGGCTCCACAATGTCAGCTATACTAGCACAGAAAAACTAGAAGCAATAAGTAACCGCGAAAGATTTCGCTAACACAGAATAGGAATTAGGCATCTTATCATTAAGACATCTTAACTCAGTCTTGGAAATCAATATGCCAACCTCAGCTTATCAAAGCAGCACTGAAGGATATTTAGGCCATTAAGCAGCAATAACATGAAATAAAAAAGCAATCTCTCACCCCACTGGTATTTCAAATAAGCCATTCCATTTTATTTTCCAGGTACAGTAAAAATAAATAGTCCATAACTGTATTGGTTTTACGAAAAGCAGGTATATGACTAAACAGCACATACACACACACGAAGGGAAATTTTCAGAACCAAGGAAAATGCAGAGTCTCTCACATACCATGCCTGCAGGTAAATCAAACCTATTTTGCCTAGACTGCTCTGCCAATAGCATACTTGCATCAGTTACTTGTGACCTAACAGAAATAAAGAACTGACTTCAGACTATGGTTGAAGATCCTAGCTCGTTCCCAACTTAATAATCAAAGGTTTTGAGTTTGGATTTAACAGGAAACAATCATTGATTGGATTTCCTGGGTTAATTGCAGTGTGCGGAGAAGGGAGGAAAACAATGGAAACCGCCTTATATCGAGTCAGACCCCTGGTCCATCTAGCTCTCTCCAAGGTTTCACACGGGAAACCATTCCCAATCCTGCCTGGAGATATTGGGGATTGAACCAAAGACTTTTTGCCTGCAAAGCAGATTCTCCACCACTGAACTATGAGAGCTGGCAGTAGCATATGTCGGAGTCTGCAGGCACAAAGCTGGCACAGGTCCCAGAGATCTAACCCAAGAGCTGCATGTCCAAACCAAGCCACTGCCTTTGTTGTTGTTTAGCCGTTTAGTCGTGTCCAGCTCTTCGTGACCCCATGGACCAGAGTACGTCAGGCACTCCTGTCTTCCACTGCCTCCTGCAGTTTGGTCAAATTCATGCTGGTAGCTTCGAGAACACTATCCAACCATCTCGTCCTCTGTCGTCCCCTTCTCCTTGTGCCCTCCATCTTTCCCAACATCAGGGTCTTTTCCAGGGAGTCTTCTCTTCTCATGAGGTGGCCAAAGTATTGGAGCCTCAGCTTCACGATCTGTCGTTCCAGTGAGCACTCAGGGCTGATTTCCTTCAGAATTGATAGCTTTGATCTTCTTGCAGTCCATGGGACTCTCAAGAGTCTCCTCCAGCACCATAATTCAAAATCATCAATTCTTCGGCGATCAGCCTTCTTTATGGTCCAGCTCTCACTTCCATATATCACTACTGAGAAAACCATAGCTTTAACTATACGGACCTATACTGCCTAGCCTTGCCTATTCAGAAGTTCCCAAAGCTGAATAACCAAGGGAGCATGCTGCCAGCCTCCTACTGGACCAAGAGGGTGTTCCAAAGACCCACACAACTGGTTCTGCATGATCAGAAGGAGGGGCTTTGGATTTGTGTTTCTCAAAACAGCAGACACCCGCCATACACAGCAAGCTGCTTTTGAAACCAAAGAGACTTTCAAAAGCAGTCTGTGATAGAAAACCCTACCAGGCGTGCTCAAGCTTGTGGGAATGCCTAAAGTGGCACTTTGGATCCCAGCCCATATTTACCAAGGAGGGGAATCAGCCCATTGTTCAGGTTTCTATTTAATTTCTTAAATGTGATGATCTGGATAGAGGAAAACAGTCCTTTATGATTACCCTAGTGTTGTAAAGAGCATAACACTTAAAACTTATTTATAAAAAAAACCACACACCCAATGTTAATGACAGACACTTTCCCCCAAAGAGCCAACTATCTAAGTAAACTACGATAATGCTGTGGAGTGACAAATCGAGTTCAGATAAGAGCTACAGCAATTACAAAGTCAGTGTCATACGGTGTCAAGAGCAATTGTGTTTGCTGCTATATTTCTCTAATTAAAAGTTATGGAAGAATAAATAAGAAGGTGCGTACTACAGGCACAGTAATTGTTAAATAGGGTTATCCTCAAGACATGCATGTAATAAGAAGCTTTTCTTCTCCTAAGCCTGGGAAATTGCAGACCCATCAGCCAAACATGAATCACAAGTAAATTGATGGATGGTGCTATTAAAGCCAGAGATGCCAAATATACAGAAGAAGGAGAAAGAGAATCCTTCCCAAGGAAGAATAAGCACCATTTCTGCAGCAGGAAGACTCGCCTGACCAACCTTCTTCAGGAGTGTCAAACAGGCAGATAAGTGCAATTTAGCTGTTATTCAAAACGTGGACTCTCAAAAACACTTCTGACAGCATCAAAGGTCCATGAGAAGGAAGATCCTTTTACAGAGGACCAAGCAGCAGCATTCTGTCAAGCTATAGCAGAAGGAAAGGTGGGGCTGCAGGACCATTGCATCAGCTTGCCTGGAGGACCAGCCCCATTTAGCTCCTTCCTCCATCAACTGCCACCTGGCAGAGGGAGAGGGGGAAAGCAGGACCACTCGATCAGCCCTGCTGAGATCAGCTCTTCTTGACTCCTCCTTCCCTCCATTCCAGCTGATCAATATAAGAACTGACAATCTAAGGAAGCAACCCTGAGATTGTAAATTTCTGGGCAGGGACTGTCTTGTTTCCATTGATCTTATGTAAGTTCCTGCAGGGGGTAGGGGTGGGCTTACTTAAAACATTTAAGTTGTGCAGGCCAGTTAGGAGCATCCTCAGAAACACCACCATCCCTGGGCCCGGTTGGCAAGTTTTTCCAATGATCTGCCCAGCCAGCACAACTCTTCTCCTTGATAAAAATCACTCAGCACTGACAAGAGGCAAAAAGCCAGGTGTCTACAGGCCCCACTGCTTACCACCTGACAAGTTCATGGAAGGGAAAGGGTATTTCCATGGCCCAGGAGACACTGAGAGGGAACAGATGCTATGCAGACCAGCACCAGAAGCATCCTCTTCTCCTCCACCACTGGAGGAGCTCAAGGCTCCTGCTGCATTAAGAAGGGTTGTGACACGTCCAGGGCTAGGCAGGGCCAGAAATGATGGCTATGGGCACTGAACATATTCATCATCCATTTGTCTAGCACTACATTATCACACTTTAATCCATCTCTGGATTATATTTGTGTAGTGCATCCCTTTGTGGGTGGGATCTTTTTAATGCATTTCTCTTGGTTTTAACGTGTCTATGTGGGGCTTATTGTCTATTTGTTTGGTTGGGTTTGGGTTACCCTAGGCAAGATAAAGTGACTGACAAATTAAAGGAATGAATAAATAAATACAATGTCTGAAGCACAGCCCATTTTGGCCCTTGGGACCAGCTGTAGGGGACTGAGGACTTCTCTCCAATGAGACTAGAAGAGCAATGCAAGAAGATCTGAAGAATGGACAGTGGGACAAGCCAGTTACAGTCCTGAACTGGGGAATGCCTCTTAGATTAGGGGTGGTGAACAGGGGTCCCTTCAGCTATTGCCAAACTGCAATTTGCATTGTTGCTAACCATTGGGCCATGCTGGCTGGTGCTGAAGTCCATCAACATTTGGAGGGCAACAGATTCACCACTACTGTCTTAGGGGATGCAAACAGTGTGTTGTGGGAAGGTGATCTTCAGCTCACTCTTTATTTTCACCATAGCTACTGTTGGCCAATCAGGGAACAAGTTGGGGACAAAATGCTGGACTAGTTAGACCCTTTGCCTGAGCGCAGAATACACAGTTCCTCATTATGTTCACTTCCTCAAGAAATGACCCCAACACCCAGGAGCTCAGTTGCTCCCCCCTCCACACACCTCCCCTAACGCCTCTCTTTAGGCATTAGTTCAAGAAAAACATAAAAACGTCAAAAGTCCAAATCACAAAATTGGGGGGTGGGAAGAGAAATTGGAAAGCATTTTAGAGTGCCCTTACAACAATTAGCACTCCAGAATGCAACACACATAAAGAAATTATACGTTTAACTGCAGGCCGGACTGTAGGGGGTATAAATAAAATGCGCACCTCTATGCCATCACTACTAAAAAGAGAAAAGAAATTCAGCACATTCCAACAAGGTTTGAAACTGTGAAATGGGATTTGCTCAGCCCCCTTGCTCTTCACGGATGGCAAAACACTGGCTCCTAGTGGCCACAGAGATTCTGCAGGCTTTTTTTTTCTCAAAATGAATTGGCGTCGTAAAGATTTGAAAGCAACTGAAAAGATAAACTCTGAGAAGCAAATTTAATCCCATGTAAATCAATTCAAATGGCAGGAAATCAATTCTTACCCTAAATACATACATGCGTTGACTAGCTGTTAGTTAGTTAGTTAGTTAGTTAGTTGGCTTCTGTCTGTCGCAAGAGACAATGGAGTGCGCCTCTGAGGGTGAAGTCAAACCGCTGTGTTAGCATAACCAAAGTTACCCCCCTGGAGCGAAAGCCAGGCAAACCATTCTTTATTATACAGTGGCATCCCTTGGCTTTGAGTGCTGGTCAAATTTCTTTTATTCGATCAAAGCCTCATGATAAGCACAGTTCAGGGAAAGTGGTAAGAACATAACGCAAGCCCTGGTTCATCAGCTCTGCAACCTTCCAACAGAGGCAAATGACAGCCAGGAGTATGAAGCTGGGCCAGGGGGCTGCAGTGGTTGGCAGTGGACCCCTGCTATTGTTCTTTTTTAAAAAAAATGCATACAGAGGTTTGGAAACAACAGCATAGGCAACTCCCAAGTTACATGGAGGTTACATTCCAAGGCATCGCGTTCATCAGTGAAATTGCATATAATTGAAACACGATTGGCAAAGCCTGAAAACACCAGAATCGCTCCCTCCAAACCTCCTTGCTCAAACTCAATAACTCTCCACATGCCTCAGAAGTCGGTGCAAGGGCTCCTGGGATTGCATTTACAAAGGCTCATGGGATAGCCAGACATTGTTTTCACATTTTCTTTTTTGCCCTCTCTGGGTTCACATCTGCCATTTTTAAAGTCACTTTGGGGTTCGGTGCAATGCGCACTTGCGCGGTTGCAAATCAATTGGCTATTGCCGGTACCAAATGATGCACATAGCTCCTGAAAAAGTGACAAACATCTGGAAAAAATAAATAAATTGCTAGCCCATTTGAGAATTTACTGTGCAGAAATTTACTGTGCACCTTCATTTTCTCTCCACTCTAATGGATCACAACCTTTTACCACCATTCCGTGAAATTTAAAGACAGAGAATTCAAAAGTCTTTGACCCAAGAAGAGCACATGAATCTTTACCCAAATTAAAATGTATGCTACTTTCTCTCTTTTTCTTCTTTAATGTGACCTCCGAAAGGAGAGTCACTCTTTCAGAACAGAAAGTGTCAATCTAAATTAATCCTCACCGGCTTATACTGCACTGTATAATCTGCAATTGCCTTTTTTTAAAAAAGCACATAGGTCACCACATGTATTAAGGCAACCAAATATGAAATTAAACTTTTCATAGACTCTGTGAGACACCAGAGTAAAGTCAGTCAGAGATGACTATCCAAATAATCGCCCAAGCACTTAAATTAAATCTAAAATTACAAAGTACGCATTTTATCTCCCCGAGGTTTGCAAGTGTTAGTTAGGGTGGAGTAATTTCTCTACCACTCTTGCAGGCATTTCACACACTCTTTTCTAAGAGAGGGCCAAAAGGGCCTTAATTTGCCTTTTCAAAAAGCGAACAATAGCTCAGTTTGTCTCCACAGCACAAACTCTTGTACTCTGCCAGATGCATTTTGCTTCAAGCAAAGCTGATTATACAGCACGAGGAAACCGGCTATTCATTACATCATATTTAGGCTTCAAGAGAGCAGTATTCACAAGGTGGTTGTTAACAGCGTTTTTTAACAGTTTAAATCTTAGGTGTAACTGAAGATGTTTAAAAAGAAACACAAAAAACCCCCAAAGCCTGCTCAGAACCAAAAAAACGCTTTAAATACTCGCTGCCTCAGGGAAGAGAACCCCTTTCATGTATGGCTGTCTGACAGTTCGCTTGATGCACAACAAAATGCATCTGCAAAAATGGCAGTCATTCCTTGAAATAATTAGCTCAAACTAGACAAGGAGCAAGGACCAGATAGATATGCAGTTCTGTACGTATTTAAAAAAAAACTCGACTGCTTTGCATACCTCCTGCAGATGCAGAGACATGTGTCCCAGCTGATCCTGACGTCTTTCCACAAGCTGCCTTTCCGAGCGGATTTCTCGTTCTATCTCCTGAAGCCTCCTCTCCACCTGTTCCGACACCTTCAGTGAAAAAGGCGGGTTGGGGAGAAGGGAAATTCTTCCGTTAGCATGGTATTGAAAGTTAAAAAAAAAAAAAATACTGCTCGTTTTTCTAGCAAAGTAAATGCAAAGGCCTAAATACAATTGTGAAGTCCTCCGTTTGTTAGCAATGAAATGCCTATCTGTCTTGTGGTAAAGATGAGGAAAAACAAGAGGGGGGAGGGCACAGGGACAAGGCCGGGGCAAGGGGCAAGGGACAAGGGGAAAGCTACACTCAGGTCGTCTGTGCCCTCCAACACCACCTCCCTTCACCTGCCCCACGGGAAGGACAAAGAACGCAAAGCAAGGAAGCAAAGACAACTACCGGACCGGCTCCAGTTGGACTGTCTCCACCTCCTCAGGCCTTGCACTCCATGCCATTTATTTGTCTTAGTCTTTTAAAAATGTAATCTGCCTCAGGTACGTTGGCAGAAAGATGCTACCATATATACTCAAATATAAGCCGACCCGAATATAAGCCGAGGAATCTAATTTTACCACAAAAAAACTGGGAAAACTTATTGACTCAAGTATAAACCGATTCACCACACCACAAACCTGGTGGTGGAGGCAGTGGCGGACGAAGAACGAGCAGCCTGAAAGGGCTGCTTTCGGGCTGCTCGTTCCTCCTCCTCCGCCACTGACAGCGGCAAAGGCGGAGGAGGAAGGAGCAGCCCGAAAGGACCCTCACTCGAGTATAAGCCAAGGGGGGCTTTTTCAGCATAAAAATGTGCTGAAAAAATCGGCTTATACTCGAGTATATACGGTATATAAATGCAGCAAACAAATTTGGGCTGCCTTGGAGACTGAGTCTCATTGTAGGTTTGATTCACATGGGACCCCGGCCGAAGGCAGCATTTTCTTCGGAGTCTGTGACACAATGGGTCAGTGCGTCTGGCTGTTAACCAGAAGGTTTGTGGTTCAAGCCCACCCAGGGATGGTTATGGGCAGGATTCATGCATTGCAAGGGGCTGGGCTAGATGACCCCTCAGGGTCCCTTCCAATTCTACATTTCTATGATTCTATAAGTCTTTCTCTCCCTTGCCTAATTTCAGGGCCTTGGAGCTGAGACAGGGGGTGCTGCTTAATTCAATTGAGGGCGTATCCTGAGCCACGAAGACCTTAAAAAGCATTGCAATCAATCTGCATCTGCTAAAACCCAGTCTCTTCGGTAACAGACTGGGTTCTTTTGACCCGTTGACCACTGCCACATGTGAGCTTTCCTCCTTGTTACCATGTACTGCTTTGCATGCGAGTATGCGGGTGGCGCTGTGGGTTAAACCACAGAGGCTAGGGCTTGCCGATCAGAAGGTCGGCGGTTCAAATCCCCACAAGAGGGTGAGCTCCCGTTGCTTGGTCCCAGCTCCTGCCAACCTAGCAGTTCGAAAGCACGTCAAAGTGCAAGTAGATAAATAGGTACCGCTCCAGCGGGAAGGTAAACGGCGTTTCCGTGCGCTGCTCTGGTTCACCAGAAGCGGCTTAGTCATGCTGGCCACATGACCCAGAAGCTGAACGCCGGCTCCCTCGGCCAATAAAGCAAGATGAGCGCCGCAACCCCAGAGTCAGTCACGACTGGACCTAATGGTCAGGGGTCCCTTTACCTTTACCTTACAAGGTTAATAATAATAATAAATTTTATTTATACCCCGCCCTCCCCGGGCTCAGGGCGGCTAACACCAGTAAAATTACAGTAAAAACATAATGGGGGGGAGGGGACAATTTAAAATACAGGTTAAAATGCAATTTAAAATGCAGCCTCATTTTAAAAGTAGCCCATAGATCAAAACCATAAGGGGAGGGAAACATAAGGGTCAGACTGAGTCCAAACCAAAGGCCAGGCGGAACAGCTCTGTCTTGCAGGCCCTGCGGAAAGATGTCAAGTCCTGCAGGGCCCTAGTCTCTTGTGACAGAGTGTTCCATCAAGTCGGGGCCAGTACTGAAAAGGCCCTAGCCCTAGTTGAGACCAATCTAACCACCTTGCGACTTGGGGCCTCCAAAATATTTGAACACAAAAGGCAGGAAAAGAAAGCTTCAGAGGAACAGGCCATTATCACGTCTGCGTGTGGCATGTCTGCACCCGCATGGTACATGTGCAGCATTTGGGTGAAGAGAATCTCAACTTTCTTCTTCTTAAAAGGAAAAAGGGAAAAAAGCAGGAGGAACATTTGATCACAGCTTTGAGCATATAACCTGGAGAAGCCTCAGAAGCCAGAGTTGGAATGAGCTGGAAATCTGGTCACCAGTGAGGCTCCACTGCCTTGCATAGTTATTTCTCACAACTCAAAAAAGCAAATCTAATTATGACAAATAAAATATGCAGAAGTTGTCTTGTCTTAGAATCCAGCAATATACTTCTTACAAATTTTTATCTTGTGGTCTCCCATTCAGATCCTGACCTGCTTATTTACAACAAGGTTGCAGCGCAATGGGCCTTCAAACAAAATGTGTGTGAGTGTGTGTGTGTGTTGACAAATCCTTGGTCAAGTATGATCACACTGCCACCCTAATAGAGCAAAGAAGAGATTCATAGGCGGAAGCAGGTTCCACAAGCCTGCAGGTATTCCAGGTACAAATGTGCATCTGGATGACAAGACTCACATTTGGACCACATTAGAATGGCAGGATGAGTCTTTTGATATGGATGGAAATGTGCAACCCCATCTAGGGTCACCGATTGTACACATGTGGAACTGGATCAGAGACAACTTACCATAATGTGAAAATTAGATTTTTGTGAAACCACACTGAAATTCCATATACCACTGCCAGGATTTTTGTTGTTGTAACTTTGCTAAATGACAAATCAAGAACTGAACTAGAATAGCCTCTGGCCTTAAAATAATAAAAAATATGACTGAATGAATCAGTAACTGCAGTAATATGATCAGAAGAATTATTTGCTGTAATTATTTCTTTGCTTTACAGGGAAAGAAAACAGGAAAATAATACTTCCCTAGATTGCGGTTTTCATTCTTTCCTTTCCTCATCTATTTGCAGACACTGCCCTCTAGCAGTGAGCAGGGAGTTGAACATTCTATGCAAACATGGGACTTATTATAGCTTTATGGTAGTTATTGCTTTTTATTACAGTTTCCATGCTGCAGAACTGTATTCATGGCGTCATAATACATTTTGCAGCAACATTTATCCATATGATCTGCAAACAATAAATGTTAAGTCATATATGGAGTTGGCACTACAATCATAACCAATGTCCACAATTATGAAGGTTAGATGTAGTATAGGTTGTGGTTTTCCTTCCAAAATGTCTGCACTTACTGAAACTATGCTATAGTTTCCACCGTCTTTAAACTGCTTCTTTACCATTTATACTTGGTTGGAATTGCCGCAACAAAAAGGTCAGCCCTAAATTCATAATTTAACCGAACACACCAATGTCATCTCCTTGGCTTGAGTCTCCAAGTGCCCTTTCGCTCGCCAAAAACATCACCTACTCATGGAAGAACAGTTTACAACCTGGAAGAAGGAGGATGTGCGAGGAATGACCCCCAAATTCAGCAAAGTCCTTGCCGATGCTCAGACTCTTATGCAAGACTTTGCACAAGCCCTTTTTCAAAGAGCAACTAGAGTTTATATGCTGCGCACCCTGTATCTTCCTTGTTCACCTTGCTAATCACGTTATAATGCAATTCCTAGTTTAAACGCATGCAAATGGGAGACTTTTTTTTACAGTGCAGCATCACAGAGCTGACGAAACAGCAGTAATGCTTTTCCCCCTTCTGCTCACGGTTCTTCGGAACCGAACCCATGTTTTTAAAAACACCTAATATTGTTATATATATATAGTCCTTTATTTCATTGGCATTCTGTGTTCTTTGCAAAAGCAATCTGAGCTACACTGTTGAGGAAAGCACTCTCCTTGCTTTCTCTTTTAGGGAAAGACATTTAAAAAGTATCAAGAATGGATGATTAATCCATGATTACTGAAGGTTAATTCCCGATTTATTGGAGCCAAATTACTTTTCAAACAACATTAGATGGAAGGTTTTCAAGCAACGCTCCAAAAGAAACCAATCATTACAAGTACTTAAAAAACAGCACGCTAGAGTCAAGGGCAGTTAAAAGTCTAAGCAGCTGTAGCCATGGAACAGAACTTGAGAGAACTGAAATTGCAATCCACAGTATGCAATCAACAGGAACTTCAGTCAAAAGAATAAAAATACGTAAACTTCCAACATAGGAATTCCAAGGATGAAACATCAAATAAGGAGGGGGCAGAGGTTGTATTCTAGAAGTGTCGGGGAGACAGTTGCCCCAACTCACAACCAGCCCCTTACGCAGGCAATGGCTGCATACAAGGCTAGAGCACAACTACACATGTCGGACATGAGACAGGTGTTTTCGGGCTTGTGCTGCTCTAGCAAATGCAATCCAACAATAGACGGAATTTTGCTTCTGCAGAACACACGGCAGTAGAATCAGAAAACCCACTTGAGAATGCGCCACTGCATCCATTTGCAAGCCAAGGGTTCCTCATTTGTATTTAGGTCACAGGTCCTTACAGTTTGTCCAGCTCTGTTCACAAAGCTCCCTCGAGTTTCAAGAACAGCTTGTTGAGCAGCACAAGTGGATGCTGCCGGAGGTGAGGAGAGTGTCAAGAGTCCTGCTGCACACACATGAAAGGGCTGAAGGGAGGGGGAGCCCAACCAGAGGGGAAGACACAGGTTAGCCACCCCTGCTCCATGGCCTGCCCTTTGCCAATAGAGGATCAGGTCTATAAATCTCTGAAATTCCACGCTTTACTGAGACCAGCACAAGATCAGAAGATGGTGGCACATTTGTCAGTTGCCTGCGCTGCACACCTATGGGTTTCGCTCACAGCGAAAGGGGTCTTCACGCTGCTTCTCGATGCTTTGCTCCAGAGTCCCAGTCTCCCTTTGTAAAACCTTGAGGTCTTTCAAGCTCAAGAGGGGCCTGGAGCCTAAATCTCAGGTAGACTTCACAGTCCAAAAGTCATCTGG